AGGAAGTGAAGGTGTCTATTCCAACAGGTTGGAAATCACCTTTAGACTCCAGCCTAGTTAATACAGACAGGTGCTCTGTTTCTTTCTTGCCAGACACTTTTTTGAGTGTTCTTTCCTGGTTTGTTTTCTGTTGATGGGTGGATTTTTCTTTTCCTGTTGCCTATTTGTGTTGTTTATTATTTTTACTTCCTTTACTAGTCTTTGGGTAAAAGAGGATCTGTAATCATGCCTCACTTGTCATGTCTTTATGGGGAGCTCCATCTAATTCTTTTCAAACTGTGTTCACTGGTGAAAATTACTGAAGAAACCATTCAATCTCTCTCATATCCTACATGTAAATATCAGTCCTGTTAATGGCACAGGCCTCTGGGAGGTAGAATGGAGAAAACTAGGTGAAAATTAAAATGGAGGGGTGATAATTTGAGATGGTTTTCAACTTTAAGTTTGAGAATAGATTAGAAAGAGATCTGCTCATCTATCACAAAGTATATTTTTACTATCTTTTAATAAAAATGTAATTCCCATATCCTTTCCCACCCTCCATTTAGTTAAAGGTGGGTGAGCATAAATAATGTTTTTTTATGGGCAAAAGTGGCCTGCAACTTTAATACTCTTTTCTTTCTTTATTTTTTAAGCTTCTTGCTTCCTTTCCATATCACAACCTGGTATGCAAATACTCAAAGATTAGATCATATTTATGCATTCTTTATTCTTGATATAGCTTACATTAAACAGGAACATTCACATAACCAACTCATAAATAAAAAGATGTAATTATAAAATTTCATTCCCCTGAGAATCTGGAGAGAAAGTGTGAAACAAACAATTACACATTAACCATTTAGAAGGGTGTTCTTCAGTTATATCCCAATCGGTTCTCTCACACCTATGAGGCAAGTGCTGACTACAGAGCTAAAAACAGGCTAACCACTGACTGAGTGATGGTGTGGAGAGGGGGAGGTGTGTGTCGGCATGGCGGGAAGGAGAGAACTGGGCCAGTGGCTTCTGCAAGTGAATGTGACAAACCGCTGAATATGAATTTTATACTTGCTAGTCATCTGAGGATAGGACATGGGTAGCAGGTAGTTCTGGTCCTCTGCCAGTGACTCTAAGCTACCTTTGACAAATGCACCTGAGAAACCCAAGATGAGTTGTAGGACTACAGACTTTTACAATGTTAGGGACCTGGGCCGATACCTAGCTAACCCACTGCCGGAACAATCTGGGGTACATAATGGAGTGCCTACCCCCCTCCCCATTTGACAATATATATCAAGAGCCTACTTAAAAGTTTATTTCAGCTGGACTAAGTGCCTGGGGCTCAGATATTGTTTTGGTGGGTAAGTAGGTATTACCGTTCCTCCTAAGATATCATTTTTATTGCTGCAGGAATGTTGAGGGGTGGATTTGGGCAGGCTTCTTGGTGTATCCAGGGATTACTTAAGGGTTGGAGGAAACTTCTGGGGGAAAAAGGCTCAGATCCTGTTCTACTTCATTGAGTGTTGAGCATATAAATCATGTCTAGTGGGGAAAGGGTGGGTGCAGACTGAGGCTTTATTGCAGGAGACTGCGTGGAGCCCTTGAGAAGGAACCCACGAAAGGGAAGGGCTCTAAACAGGACAATGACACACCCCAGAAAAAAGTGTTTCCTCTCTGATCCAGTGGGGGCCTGTCACCAACCTCACTCTAACCTGTCCTATGATAGACTTTGGTAAAACAACCAGACATATGTGAATTGAAAAGCTCCACCATTAAAGAGCTGAAGCACTCAGGACCCAAGCATCCCTTGTGCTGAGATTGCACTCAAGGAATAAAACTGTCTTCAGGTTATGTTCCTCCCCAGATATGCTCCAGCTCACTGTCCCAGGCTTCAGTGTGCTGCTTAACTTTCCCAATAAAATGGCCCCTGGGAACTCTGAACTTTTCCCATAGCCTTAAAGGCCCTGCCACTTGTTGCCACCGTTGGCCAGGCAGGGGGTAGGGAAGGACACTTCTGGGGGTGGGTATGGTTAGGGATTAGGCCATGAACTCCTCTTCCCCTGCAGCTCTAGGACTTGGTTCCTACTGTACCAGACTCAACTCACAGAAGCTCTAGATTTTCCAGTGTATGTTTAGAGGTACCATGTAACATACCCCAGAAGTACAGGGAGGTATGAGCTACAGGATGAATTTTGACCAACAGAGAGAAGATATAAAAGAGTCTGTAATAAATTTCCTTTCCTCATTCCTACCTCCTGGTTATTCCAAGACATAATGATTTGACATAATCTCTCTCGAAATACCCCACAGTACAGAGAAAACAGCTAGGTTTGGAAGTTGTAATCAGCTGGATAACATACAACCTTGTATTTGCTCTCCTTCCTTCCTTCCTTCCTTCCTTCCTTCCTTCCTTCCTTCCTTCCTTCCTTCCTTCCTTCCTTCTTCCCTCCCTCCCTCCCTTCCTCCCTCCTTTCCTTCCTTCCCATTTGTCCTCACTCCTACTTCCCTACAATTATAGCTTCCAGCAAAGCACTAACATGCAATCAGGTTGTTTTCTAGAGAACCCAGGCTAACATAGAATTTTTTAAAAAAGTAAATTTAGCAGAAGTTTGCAATGAAGGCAAGGGTATGAAAGACACTTTGGGGCATGTTTAGTAGCCATAAAAGATCAGGGGAAGCAGATTTGGGCTCTGGATCCATCAAAAAATGGGCTGACGAGTTTGGGGGTTAGGGGCAAGTACAGTTATAGAATTATGTCTGCAGGAGGTACATTTCCTGTCCTCTAGCAGGTGGCAACCGGTAGACAACTACAAGGACTATTTCATGGATATATATGCCTATATTACAGAGACCACAGAAATATTTTGGGTGAGGGTCTATTTTAAGGGGTAAAATTATTTAAAAATATATAAATATTGATTTGAGAGAGAGAGGAAGGGAGAGGGAGAGAAAGATAGAAACACCGATAAGAGAGAACATCGATTGGCTGCCTCCTGCATGCCCCTCACTGGGGATCTGGCCCACAACCTGGGCATGTGCCCTGACCAGGAATCAAACTGGCGACCTCTTGGTGCAAGGGGTGATGCTCAACCACTTAGCCACACCAGCCAGGCATTAAGGGGTAAAATTATTTACATCATCAAGCCTTTATAGTAAGTGGCAATAGGAAATGATCACTCCACCAATGAAAATATAAAGAATTAGAATGAGGCCTCTGTTTCATCCACTGGAGACTTCTTTTGCTAAAACCTTAGAGGCCTGTGCTTTGCTTTGTAAGGAAGGGTAGAGTGTTTCTTGTATATATAAATCCCATTACCTAATTCTCACCACAGTGCAGAGGAGTAGATATTGTTCTCACTCCCATTTTGCAGATCAGGAATGGGAAACAGTGAGGTTAAATGCTTTGTTCCAGGTTACATAGGTCCAGGACTCAAACCAACTTGATACTCCTTTTACTTTTAAGTCCTTTCCCCCACCCCTTTCATTGATTGTTTTAGAGAGGAAGGGGGGTATCAATCGGCCACCTTCCATAAGCACCTGGGGACCAAACCCATACCCACAACCTGGGCATGTGCCCCAGGGAATTGACTGAAAAGGGAATCAGACTGGCAATCGTACCAGGGACCCCTCTGTTCACCGGATGATGCTTAACCAACTGAGCCACACCAGGGCAACTTGATGTTCTTTTGCTCAAAATCCTAGCTATAGTTTTGAAGACATCTGAGGAGAACAGAAACTTCACTAGACATTCCAAAGGGTTTTAGCTGGTTAGTGGCTCTACTTCAGGCAATGAATCAAGACAACTGGAAAAGGATTCAAAAGGTGATTGACTGGGACTCTTTTAAAGTTGTGCCAGGTAGGGTAATGTGTTTGTATCAGAAGCTATAATTTATGCAGATTTACATACATCTTTTTTACATGTTGCATCATTTGCGGAATATGTAGTGTTGTGGAACTAAATGTATTTGTATGTGTTCAGCACACTGTATAATTGACTCAATTATCCATGTGGGGATTATTGACTTTTAATTTGCAATCTGGCTTCTCCCTTCAGTTAGGATGTTTTTGGGCTGCTGTAGGAATGCCAACTAATTAAAATAATAATTTAAGTAAAACATAATTAGGTAGGAAAATGAAATTCAATCTCTTGCCAGCTCCTGAAGATTGTACAGCAGAACTGTAACTCTAATCCATCCACGATCGTTTTATTCTCCCATGCCATTTTACTACCACAGGATTGTCTTGCTTTCCACAGATTATTGCCAAGTTTCCTATCTGACTGTTTTGCTTACCTCTTTCCAATCAAGTCATCACTCTGCTGACAGTAATCTTAAACAAGCAAAAACAAAAAACCCAGTTCTCATCACAAGACTTTCTTTGCTTGAAAACATTTAATAGCTCCCCATTTTTCACCACATTAAGTGCACATGCCACACAACCCATTATTCAAGGCTTCTTCATGTCTTCTGCCCTAGGAAGCTTTCCTGATCCTACCTCCGATGCGTCAGCACCGGTCCCACCTCTGAATCCCCTACTTACTCTCTGGGGAGATCCCTAATGGCAGTTTCTGGGGCGTTTCATCTGTCCCACTATGTCAGACCCCAAAGAGGGAGTAACAAAAAAGCCTGTCCATTTGTGCAGGGCAAACCCACAGGGCAGAAATTTGGGGCTTTTGTACCGTGCCTGCGCACAGTAGGTGCTCAGGGAATATTGTTAACAAACGAAGGTCCACAGTGCAAGCAAGCTCCACGTGGCGCCCTGCAGAGCGAGTATAGATAACATAAACACGTGCACACATACCACATACATAACACATAACGTCCGTACACACGTATCCAGGTATATTTTCTTAGTCAATATATACCCACACGGACATTAACGTGCGGACAGGCCCGTCTCGGGACAGGTTGCAGCGGCAGGCGGAGGACGGCGAGGCGCCCGGGTCTGGAGCCGACTGGCCGGGCAGCGGCGCGGCGTGGCCCTTCCGGGTTCCCGTCGGCCGCGGCCGCCATTGGTTGGGCCCGGAGCAGCTGACAGGTAGCGGCCCGGCGAGGGAGCTTCAAGGATGGCGGCGGCCGCGGCGCTGATCCTGCGGGAGAGCCCCAGGTAGCCGCCGGGCCCGGCGCTAGCGGTAGCCGACCCCTGGCCGACGCGGGCCGGGGCGGCAGGGGCGGGAGGGGCCGAGCCGTCGCCTGCCCGCCCGGGGCTGTGGGCGCCTCCACCGCCACGTTGGTTCGCCCGCGCGGGGTCCCCGGCCCCTGGCCGCTGGGGTCCTGCTCCCGAGCGCAGTGCCCGCAGGACCCAGGCCTCCCGGCTGTCACGCCGCAGGGGCGGGGAGGGGATCCGTTCCCGTTTTCTGGCCTCTTCCGGACCCCGTGCGGCGAGAAAGGCTCCCACTGCGGCCGTGAACACCCCACTCGCGTCGGGTCCCCTCTCCGTCGGGACAGACCGCAGGCCAGAGTTTGGGCCCGGGGACACTGCGGCCCGACTTCGGTGACACGGCTTTGTTGTCCTTTTATTCCGTTTGAGTTCATTTCTGTTTGTGGTAGGTAAGGTGGGCTGTCCGCGGTGATGTTAAGTTCTCTTTTAAAACAAAATTATTTAAGTAACGATTCCATGTCATGAAAAGGAATTAATGCCTAGTGAGGTCGTGTGTGGGTGCGCAGAAAGTGCCGAAGGATATAGGCAAATCATTGACGTTGGAAAATAGCTTCTTCATGCCTGGGTTGGGCAGGAATCTGAAAGAACAGAGTTGTCATTTTAAAGTTGTTCCCTCTTCCGGAGTCCTGAGTCCTGCCAGCCAGTTCCTTGCCTCACACCAGTGTCCTGGGTAACAACACACCGCATCGGTGAACCATAGTAACATGTTCAACAGAGTTGTTCTTATCACATAAGTTAAAGTTATTACAACTCAAGCAGAGTTTTATTTATTTATTTATTTTTGTTTTTTTTATCCTCACCCGAGGACATTTTTCCATCTTTTGTTCAGGTAGAGTGGGAGGGAGAGAGAGAGAGAAACATCGACGTGAAGGGACACATCGAGTGGCTGCCACCCGCGCGACCAACCAGGGCCGGGGACAAACTGCAACCGAGGTCGATGCTCTAACCGCTGAGCCAAACCGGCCAGGGCTGAAGCAGAGTTTTAAAACAATTGTGTACTTAGAGACCCCACATGATTTTTGTATGTAATACTTTATTTTTTAAAAATTCTGTTATGTGTTATGCAGCTTTCTTTTGCTTATATTTGTGGTATAATAGCCACTTTCCTCCTTCCACTCTTCTCAGGGTTGCATTTTGGGTTGAGTGGATACTTAAACACCTACTGCTAAACTAATGCCATTCCCCAGAGAGTGCAAGCTTCTTGTAGTGGTTTGCCTTGCCCGAAAGAAAGAAAATTTGGCAAATAGACCTTTTCAACAGTAGTCCTTTTTTGAGGGATGGGCGGGAGTGGGGAGGTTGTCTTTTTGAAAATGCCCTACCTCCTTTGCTGGCCATCATCTGTTTTTCTTTATTTTACTCTGACTTACCTTATAGCAGTCAGAATTGTTGAAATGAAAACTTACAGACAACTGCAGCCTAGACAACTGTACTTATAGCAAGTACAATTCCACTTGCATGGCTCACTCAAAACTTTGTTTTACTAATTTATTTAGCATGAAAAAAGCAGTGTTGCTGATAAATGCAATAGATATAGGAAGATTTCCACGGCTGCTCACCCGAATTCTTCAAAAACTTCACCTGAAGGTTTGTACGTTTGTATTTCTACAACTTATAATATACTTTCTTGTGATTCCACTGAAACTTTGTTTCTACTTACAGAACTTTTTGCAAAGAATAGTGTTTCCCAGTGTGTTTTTGAGAAAATCAGGTCTCTAGAAAATGTGATAATGTCCCATGGTCAAAAGTTTGGGAAGCTCTGTCTTCATTAAAGTTAATTTTTTAATTAGAGAACTTTACAGAGTATATTATATGGTAGTGTTTATAGTAAATATTTAAGAGTGAATGTGGTGTGCAAAATTTTCCAAATGTGTTTCACCTTGGAACTGTTTTATGATGGTATATATTTTGGGACTAAGGTTCTATGGAACATGCTTTGGGAAAATTCTGATTTTATGACTTCACTCTTAAAAATAATCTTGTGGTATTGCTATCAATCAGTATTTAATCTTTCATTTAATCTTTCACTTTTATTTCAAGGGTTGGCTATTTGGGACATGTTGATGTTTAGTAACTCACTACTTGCTCACCAATCTAAGTTAACTTTTTTATTAGGTTATAAAAATTTAATTCCATCCATCACGTGTTGATGGAGCACCAACTAACTATTCTGCCTGGGGCCAGGTACCACCATTAAAAAAGAACTTGGACTCTTTCTTCTTTTTTTTTTCCTGGCCAGGAGTGTCTCTTCATCACTGACGTGTCTCATAAATGTCTCTCAAATCCTTCCTTCCTCTGAAGTGTCTCTCAAATCCAAGTTCTCCTTATAGTCCTAGTTCAGATTCGTATTATCTGAACTATCGTATTATCTCTTACCTTTAAACTGGTACCTTGAGACCGCTAATCTTCCCCTTCCTATTGCTTCTTCATAATGCTATTTCATTTTTCTTGCCAAATATTTTTTTTCTAAAAAAAGAATTGATGATATCAAAGCCATTAGTGATTTTTCCATTGCCCCATGGAAAAAAGTTCAAAATCCTTAACATTATATTATAATAACACTACAACATGGCCACAACCTATATTCTCCCCACTTTGCAAGTGCCCCAGTCACATTGGACTGTGCTTTCTTACTAGAACATGTCATGAACTTTTTCGACTCTGTGTGTGTGTGTGTGTGTGTGTGTGTGTGTGTATACAGTCTCTTAGCAGTTGTTCTCTCTTCTATGCTTCTAAAGCACTTGGGTCATTACCACCTCACTTTAGTACTGCATTGTTTATTTCATGATTACAAGGTCTTTCTCTGACCTTGAATACCTTGAGTATCATGTTCTACTCATCTTTATATTACCCATACCTAATACATTGATACTTATACAGTGGGCACTCAATAACTGTAGTTGGAGTTCTTTTCCTTGCTATGGGAAACACAAAAGAAATATAAATTTCTGCCTGTAAGGAATTTGCTGTTTACAGTTGCATTGCTCCCTCTGTGACTGCTTCCGTTCTAATGGCTTTGTATTATTAACTCATGCTAGAATTAATCCTTACAGCAACTTAGCAAGTAGGTACTATTGTCATCTTTATATTATCTATGAAGAAACTGAAATAGAGAACAGTTAAATAATTTGCCCAAGGTCACACAGCTCACTAGTGAGACAGTCTGTTCCAGAATCCATCCCTTTAATTCATTACAGTAAACCTCAGAAAAGAGTACAAAATAGTATATATATCAGTCTAAAAGTAAATGATGAAGGCAGTTCCAAGGTCAAACAGATGTTCTGCTTTGATTCCCTGAGCTGGTAGGTGGCTGCCTTCTTAAACAGATAAAACAATATGGGTCAAAAAACTCTTTTATGTACATCTTTTCTTTATACTGAGGGAGGATCAAGCATTTGCAGGGAAAATTGTGATGTGTAGTTTGTCTTTGACCTTGTCAGTCACCTCTGGAGTTGAGAATAAATTAATATTTATCTTAGAGTAACTGAGTGGCTGAAGCATTCCACAGAGATGCTTGAATGCTATTCCATCCAAGGTAGGGGAATGAAGATGAGAAGGTGTGGTTACTGAGAGCTGAAGCAACTGAGGACAGAAATATACATATGTGAATATGTGCCTGCTAAGGAAGAAAGTCTGGAAAGGTGCAGTTTTTTTCTTTTTTCCTGGAATGTTCTTCCAGAATGGCTCCTGTTGTGATAAGAGCTCTTATCAAATAAAGTGTGCAGTGCCATTTAGGATCTGCCAGCTCTTTTTAGTTTACTCTTGGCCTGTCAGGTTGGCCTTTGCCTTCGGACAAGCAGAGCCCTTAGAACAGTGAAACCTGATACAGGTAGATTGATGAAGAGGATTTGGTTGCTATTCTAAATGATACTAGCTTGGCGCTTTGATTTTAGCAAGCTTAATCTGCTTATGGGCAGAGAAAATCTGGTTTTTGTCCAGACTGATTCCTTGGAATCCCTCCTAGGAATAAAGGTGGGGAAATAAGCTAAGGTATAGACTATGGCCATGCCTAAGCATGGGTCTGGGAGTCTTCTTTGAACTGGCCATCTTCCTGGCCAGGGCAATGTACAGGACAGTCCTGCACAAAGAATTGCCCCACTCATCAGGCTAATAGAGTCTGCACAGAGAAATAGTGAGGGAAGTCAGACCTACTGTCATAGCTGGGAACTTAGAAATAAACATTTATGACTTATGACTTTCAAAAATAACTGTCACAACTCATGCAGTTGAAAAACTCATATATATTGTTTGTAGGAAAGAGTTTTAGGCTGTCACACAAAGCCTATTAATGTAACTGTGCTGTGTGTCTAGTCCTGAGAGATCAGCTGTCTGGGTTCCTGGCATGGCAGATTTGAAGCAGCAAACTGGGGGGATGAAGGTGCTGCTATGATGAAGCATGTTCGGCATTTTCAGGAATTGACTACTGATAATGGAATGAAATAGAAGAATTATGAAAATCAGGCAGAAGAAATATAAAAGCACAGAAATCTGAGAGGTGTTTTTACTGAAGTGAAAAAAATCATAGATTTATCGTAGGTATTCTTTAGGATACTTTAGCACAGAACTTTGAGTCTGATGATTATGACCTGAGTCAGCACAAGAAATTAGTTTAATCCAATGGACTTTGTTTACAAAATTCCAGAATGGATGCCATACATTTTAGAAATATTTCTTTCAAACTTTTAAAATAAAAGTTCATTTATTTGATAGATTCATTTGTGAGTACCACTATATTTCCCCATTATGCAGTCTAATTAACATAAAAGACAATCACATATGTAAACCCCAGCTTATAGAAATGCCAGTGTGTGGAGGGTACTGCTGGCATTCAGTGCTCCGGGACATTAAATGTCTTGAATGTGCAAGACAGTTCTTCTCTCTCACACACACACACACACACATTTGGTCTCACCTATATGGACAAAAAAGAAAAGGGTAGCATATCTCTGAAAATGTATTCATTTTGTATTTTATTTTATTATTTTTAAAATATGTTTTTATTGATATTTTAGGGAGAGAGAGAAACATCGATGTGAGAGAGAAACATGGATTGACTGTCTCCTGCACATCCCCCACTGGGGATCAAGCCTGCAACCTGGGCATGTGCCCTGACCAGGAATCAAACCAGGACCTCTCAGTCCATGGGAAAACGCTCAAACCACTGAACCACACCGGCTGGGCTATTTTGTATTTTATTTAAGGTGAAGGGCTTTACAAATTGGTTCATCGGGTAAGAATGATATGTATCATATCTCCACACACTTTAAGTTACGGTGTTTGCAGAATAATAGCACCATGTGTTCTTCCATTATGGTGTTTGTGTGTATATATGAGATTCAGAGCTTGGACTCTGGATCACAGTCCTCTCTGTCTCTAAATCCATGCCCTGCATTTTTGAAACTGAATTGCAAATTTAGCTGTCTATAATTAATATGCATCAATATCTGCAGTAGCTAGTATTTATTACTTAGCTATGTGACAGAGTCTGAGCTGCAAACTTTTACTTGATTTAATTCAGAGCAGTCCTTTGAAGTGTTTTTTATTAAACCCATTTTACAGATAAGGACATTGACAATCTCAGGGGTTATGGGGAGTACCCAAGGTCATTTGGGTTATTAAATGGTAGAGCAGAGATAGGCACTCAGGCTATCAGATTCTGATGTTAGAGTTCAGACTCCTTAGCAAAGTATGTAAAGGCTTTCATGTCCTGAACATAATTTACTTTTTGATTCTAATGCTGTGCCACCTACCTTTCTGATCTTATTCCCTCCATCAACCACTAGGTAATAGAACAATTCATAGGCATTTCTTATCATATTGCCAATTTATGATTCCACTATAATATAATTGAATGTATCAGTGTTTTGATAAATAAATTAAAGGACAATTAAATTAGCAAATTAACTAGAAAATTTAAAAAAATCTAATTGCCTTCATAATTACTTAGATAATATACCATTTTCATAGGATAGAAGACCTGTATAATTTTATGAAGAATGTGGTCTGATTTCAACTATATGTGGAATTGAGATTAGTTCCCTCATCATGCATGTTAAGAAAATGAATTCTTAAAGAAAAAGAAAAAGTTAGAAGAAAGGATTTTTAGTTTGCTTTTTTGTGTGCCCTTAAAGTTCAAAATACTTAGAGCACTTAAATTAAGCATTTTATTTTATTTTATTTTTTATCCTCACCCGAGGACATTTTTCCATTTTTTGTACAGATAGAGTGGGAGGGAGAGAGAGGTAGAGAGAGAGAGGGAAACATCGATGTGAAAGAGACACATCGAGTGGCTGCCACCCGCACAACCAACCAGGGCTGGGGACAAACTGCAACCAAGGTACATGCCCTTAGCGGGAACCGAACCCGGGTCTCTCCGGACCGTAGGTGGATGCTCCAACCGCTGAGCCAAACCGGCCAGGGCGAGCATTTTAATAACATTATAAATTTCACAAATAGTTTATGGATAAATTTTTGTTTTAAAAAATTTAAGCATTATGGAAAATCTGAACTTACCCCTTGGTTAACTCTTGCCCCTCCTTCCATCTTAATTCTCTCCTGCATTAGTTGTCTATTGCTGAATTACAGATTACTCCAAATCTTGATCTCTCATAGCTCCTGTAGGTCAAGAATTTAGGCGTAGCTTGGCTGGATAGTTCTTATTTGGGGTTTCTTATGAAGTTGCTGTCAGATGTTGGATTAGGGCTGCTATTATCTGCAGGTTTGACTGAGGTTGGAGGATTTTCTTCTAGTAAGGCTAGCTGGTGGCAGGAGGGTGGGGACTTCAGTTCCTTGCCAGACAAGCCATTCCTCTGGACATGGAGGTTGGCTTCTTCCAGAGAGAGTGATCCTAGAGAGGGAGGTGCTGTCCTTTTTAGGACCTAGCCTTGGATATCACATAACTTCACCTTCACTATATTCTACTTGTTAAAAGTAAGTTATTAGATTTGACTCACATTCAAGGGAAAGGAAATTAGGCTCCATCTTTTGAAGGGAGGAGTGTTACAGAATTTGCAGAATAGTAAAACCATTGTACCTCCCTAGAGTAGACTTTATTATCAGTTTGGTCTTTTATCTTTCCAGATATTTTCCCATGTATTAATAAATACAGATGTGCACACACATTTGCATGCGCATATACATAGACGTGTAGTTTATGTATTTTTATATAAATGGTATCGTACTGTATATATTGCCCTGCTATTTACCTTTTTCTTTCATTTTTACCAGAGATCTTTCCATGTCAATCCATGTAGCACTATCTTATTATTTTTAAGTATTGTTTTTCCTTCCTGCTTGTGTGTGTGTGTGTGTATGGCACATGCTCTTTTAGAAAAAATTAACATCCCACTTTCCATTTTAAGATTTAAATTTCTTGAATACTTATTTTCTAATTTTAAAAACCTGGGCCTTGCCCTGGCCAGTTTGGCTCAGCGGTTAGAGCGTCGGCCTGCGGTCCGGAGAGACCTGGGTTCGGTTCCCGCCAGGGGCACGTACTTCGGTTGCAGTTTGTCCCCGGCCCTGGTTGGTCATGCGGGTGGCAGCCACTCGATGTGTCCCTTCACGTCGATGTTTCTCACTCTCTCTCCCTTCCTCTCTCTCCCTCCCATTCTATCTGTACAAAAAATGGAAAAATATCCTCGGGTGAGGATAAAAAAACAAAACAAAACAAAACAAAACCTGGGCCTTCATTTTCTCCCATTGAGGGGATAAGAAAGAATATATCTCCTTTGCCCTGGCTGGTTTGGCCTGCAGTCCAGAGAGACCCAGGTTCGGTTCCCGCTAAGGGCATGTACCCCGGTTGCAGTTTGTCCCCGGCCCTAGTTGGGTCGTGCAGGAGGCAGCCACTCAATGTGTCCCTTTCACATCGATGTTTCTCTCTCTCTCTCTCTCTCTCTCTCTCCCCCTTCCACTCTATCTGAACAAAAAATGGAAAAATGTCCTTGGGTGAGGATAAAAAAAATAATAAGAATATATCTCCTTTATCTTCTCTTTAACTCCCATATATGTATGGGTTGCTATTGGTAGATAGAAAGAAGTTTAACTGCTTCTCTTTGAAAGCAAATAGAGGAACTTATATTTAACATTTATCTACCCAGGATCATTTTGGAACAAGAGGTTGAATATGTGTTTGAAACTTTGTTCTATAGCTGTATTCTCCATATGCCGTTTTGCTCACTTATTTTAAGCCTCTCTTTATTTTAAGGGTGCCTGCCTGATGTACCAGTGGATGGGGGCATATAAATAAATATGCCCTTGTCTCCTTTCACTCCAAACTACTTTGTTAATACAATGCCCTTGAAGATCTTGAGAGTGACCATTTTGTTGCTCTTTCTCTCTTATACACATTGAGGACACTGCAGCTTATTTTTCTACATGCTCAGTCACTATTTTTATTTTGTCAAAATACCTTATTTGGTGTATATTAAAGGGAATCAGATTGACCAACTTGGAAGTTGTTCAACTATGGTTGCACATCATCCTAAGCTGTCAAGGCAGAGACTTGTGGACCTTCTGAAACTTTTCCATATTGCTATTGGGGCGAGGAAGCAGTAGAGAAAGTTCTTTTTAGGATGTATGCATAAAGTATTCATTATTATTTAAAAGCTATTTTAATAGCATACACTTTTCATATTTGATAAACCAGTGTCTTTATGGCAGGAGATTATTTTGGAAATGAAAGAGAGGAGACTAGTCAGAGATTATATTCAGGTGACTATCTTCTTTCTATCATATATTGCTTACAGAAGTAATTGTGTAATGTTTTAAGTTTTTCAAAACTTGGAAATTATAAAAAAGATAATTTCCTGCTTTACATATACTCTTATAATAACCCATACATTTGCAGAACTCATAAAAATGGAAATTATTTGAATAATTATTTGTTTTAATGTGTCTTTTTAACTAGAGTTTGGTATACCTGAAGACATGAACTGTCTATGTAGCACATAATAGATACTCAGTAAATATTTTGAATGTATGAAGATGGAAATTACTGTTATTATCGTGGGCTTTACCTTCTAGCTTTTTTTCTAAATGTCCATTAGTTATGGTATTTAGTGTTATTTTTCACCTCCATAGATTTTAAAATACTGTTCTTTATTTATTTATTTATTTTTATTATTATTTTTTTTATCCTCACCCGAGGACATTTTTCCATTTTTTGTTCAGGTAGAGTGGGAGGGAGAGAGAGGAACAGAGAGAGAGAGAGAAACATCGATGTGAAAGGAACACATTGAGCGGCCGCCACCTGCACAACTGACCAGGGCCAGGGACAAACCGCAACCGAGGTACGCGCCCTCAGCGGGAACCGAACCCGGGTCTCTCAGGACCGCAGGCCGACGTTCCAACCGCTGAACCAAACCGGCCAGGGCAAAATACTGTTCTTTAAAAATGAACTTTATTTGGCAAGATCCAGATATTGAACTGTGGTATGATTTTGAGACATTGAAATTTACAAACACATCAGTTTCTTTTACCATGGATTTACTTTTTCTTTCAAGTTCCGTTCTGTATACAACTAAACCTTTTGAGTACCTGAGTTTTGAATACCTGAATGTGTGCTAGTAGATTCCTTTTTGTGTTGCAGGCTGAGAACAGTTTCAGTGAAGAAGAGGAAGAAAAACTTCAAGCTGCATTTTCTCTAGAAAAACAAGATCTTCACCTAGTTCTTGAAACAATATCATTCATTTTAGAACAGGTATTTTTATTGCCCCACACTTCCTAACCATTATTGTTTAGTACTTGTTTGTATTGCTATGATATGTATAACATTTTTTAACATGTGCAGATGGAAGCTGTGAATGTATATTAATTAAGAATTTCAATGTAGTAAAACGATGTTTGAATGTTTGATTCTCTCCTCACGGTACTGCATTCTACAAAACAGTCTTAATGTTGAGTAGTGTGAGTAAAGTGTTTAACATACGAATTAAGACTGTATTGCCTTGAGACAATTATAAAAGATTTTAATTGATTGTTACTTGGTATATTAATTTGTAAAAATGAACACACTTCATTTAAAAATGTAAATAAATTATTTTGGGGGATTTATTTAACTCAGAAGATAAATAAAACATTTGGAAAAGTAGTAGTTGTCAAATGACTTTTGTCATACTATTTCTTCCTACCTATCTACCCTTCTACATCTCTTCTTTTCATCTAAATTCAGCTTATTTTATAAGTTTCCTTTAAGTCCTATCTCCTTCCACTGTAGCCTTGACCCCTTATGCTTTCAGTCTTCCCCTTATTTGGATTCCTTTTATCGTTGGCTTATCATAGTAGAGCACATTATTAGTCTTTCATTATTACACAGATGTCAGTGATACCTTTTTCACTTAGTTTTGAATGTGTGGGGGGCCAGGATTGTGTGTGTGTGTGTGTTTGTATCTTATATAAACCTAGCATATTGCTAGGCTTAAAATAGAGTCTCTATAAATTTCTGTTGATTGATTAAATAGAATACTTGTGAAATTAAATTTTAAATAGTACTGTAGCTTCATAAGCATTCTAGTGACAGGTACTGTTAAAAGGACAAGCTGCCAGGCATCTACTACATACAGCCTTAAACAGAGTGCAGATCATAAAGATGACTATCCTTGGTGGGACTTTAATAGATGAAAAGGATAATCAAATAAGATAGAGCAGCGTGGGGTTTATGAGAAAGTTGCGCCAGAATAATGTAATATAACAGATATCACTGTTAAAAATTATACAACATTTTATTATATATTACCTCGGAAGTTGGGAGAAGGAAGGTAGTTTTGAAAAAGTGCTTCTTGGAAAATTTTGTTAGTTGGGAAACAAAACCATTGTATACTTCTTTGAAATAATTAAGTGAAATAAGGAAATGAAATTCTTTTCATAATTGAGATTCTATTGGTTGTTTTAAGGATAAGTACATAGACATTTCATTTTGTACACAATTCTTTTTTTTTTTTTTTTTATCCTCACCGGAGGACATTTTTCCATTTTTTCTTCAGATAGAGCGGGAGGGAGAGAGAGAGAGAGAAACATCGATGTGAAGGGACACATTGAGTGGCTGCCACCCACACGACCAACCAGGGCCGGGGACAAACTGCAACCGAGGTACGTGCCCTTAACAGGAACCGAACCCGGGTCTCTCTGTACCGCAGGCCGAAGCTCCAACCGCTGAGCCAAACCGGCCAGGGCTGTACACAATTCTTAACATATGTACCCGAAACCTAAAGTCACGTGGTTGTGATTCTTTTCTAAACACTTATTCCAGTGACTTCCCTGCTTAAAATTTGGAGGCTAATTTTCCTTAATAGAGTATCAAGTACCAATATCTTCAAATGTTGATACATCAAAATCCCACTAATTCACAATTTAATATCATGTGTACTACATAATCAAATCTTCTTTCTTTCACAGCACATTAAAAAGGTTACTAGGAAAACTGGACTACCACACAAGTATGTTACAGAGTGCACAGAATTCTGGCAGAGAGACCCAAGATCAAGGAGTGATTTTCTTTAGGAAACAATTCTACCCAAAACATGAGAATAGAAGTCATTTAAAATGTTCAGGGCATAGAAAATGTACAGCTGACTTCAAATTGCCATTTAATATGCTTTGTATTATAGGATATAAAAACTACCCCTATCTATAGAATGTTAAGCTGACACCCAAGACAATTAAAGCCTCTCACATTTAATATCCTACTATTTTCTGGTTGTACCAAAAAATAACCAGCAAACGATTTCACCTCTCAGGAAAAGATCATTTACACCTAAAAAAAAAATGAGATCAGGTGGAATTCCCTCCTTCTTAAAAATGTTTTTAGAGCTACTAAAAAACTTGCATTTACAAAATAATTGATAAAAATATTCCTCTGGATTGTACAAGAAGGGAGACAGGGCATGGTATATGATAGTAATCAGACTTGGCTTCTTTCTCTCCTGCTTCATCTGAGGCTGGACTCTCCTTGTTTTTAGATTCTCCATTTTCCACAGGTAGATCTTTAGGTTCCTGATTAGCCACTTTGGCCTGTTTTCCTTTTGCCTCTCTTTTCCCTTCCATTTGCACTTTTTTGTCTGCATATTTATCCTTTTCCTACTGCCTTTTTCAGCTTTGTTTCCAGAGTGCCTTCCTGAAGCTGCACTGCCTGGCCACTGCCTTCTCCAGCTGCCAAGCTGCTTGGACCCAAGATGGGGATGGTGGGAGAACCCAGGAAATGAAATTTTAATTAGGGTACCATTTGCATAGCTAAAACAAAGAAGTATTTAGGTTAGGTAGATTTAGGATTACTTAAACCTCAGGCAAAACTGAAAAAGTTTAGCCTGAATAATTTAGGCTATTTAAGCCTAGATCTTTCAACCCTTGGGATGGTATATTATTTGTAAAATAATAAATAATTTCTTCAATAGAAATAGAAAATACTCTCTTGATTTAAATTATTAATTTTGTATTTAACTATAGATCAAAGTCTCTGTGTGAATGTTAGAGATATATGTAATTTTTTCTCTTTAACAGGCAGTATATCACAATGTGAAGCCAGCAGCTTTGCAGCAGCAGTTAGAGAACATTCATCTTAGACAAGACAAAGCAGAAGCATTTGTCAATACTTGGTCTTCCATGGGTCAAGAAACAGTCGAAAAATTCAGGCAGAGGAGTCTTGCTCCCCACAAGGTACAGATTATGTTAAACCCAAGATATTTTTCAATACTGTATGGTATAGATTATTATACCTGAAGAGTTTTTAAGGTGATAATATTTTGTAGAGAGGTACAATCAGGCAAAAGAGTATATGGACAATATTCCTATAAAGTTATTTCCATACATATTGGCTACAAATCACACAATGTGATTTAATTTTAATTTGCAGTTTAAAATATGCCTCTATAACTTAAGGATAGGAATGAAAGTCTTTTTCGATTTTTTGCCCCTGAGGCCTTGGACAGAGTTGGTTATTCTTTTTTTTTCTTTCTTTGTTTTAGAGAGAAAGAGGAAGGGAGAGGGAGGGAGAGAGAGACAGAAACATCGATGAGAGAGAACATCAATTGGCTGCCTCCTGCATGCCCCCCCTGGGGATGTGGTCCACAACCTGGGCATGTGCCCTGATTGAGAATCGAACCAGCAACCTCTTGGTGCACGGGTCAACGTTCAACCACTGAACCACACCGGCCAGGCAAAGTTGGTTATTCTTTTAATTGTGTACCTGTATCTAAGACTTAACTGTAATTTTACTGAATTCCATAATTATTTGTTTTTCAGTTTCTGTACTAGTGCCTAGCAGAATGTCTTACACACAGAAGGTAGTCAGTACTTGTTGAGTAACAAACTGTGAACAAAATGAACACATTGGGAAAAATATAAAGTAACAAAAAGTCACAAAGCTCTTCTTTAGTTACCTTTAGTCACTCTTCATGGAGGTTGAAATGATCATACAGGTTTTGTCCTTTTTTTCTGTATTATTATAATTGATTTTCAGCCAACTTTGTATTCCTGGGTTAAATCTCACTTGGTATTATGTGTAATCCTTTTTATGTATTGCTGTATTTGATTTGTTAAATGTTTTTCCATCTATGTTCATGAGGAATATTGGTCTGTACTTTTCCTGTGATGTCTTTGGTGGTATAAGGGTAATATTGGACTTTTAAAATGAGTTGGAAAGTGGCCCCTCCCCTTCTATTTTCTAGAAGAATTTGTGAAGGCTTGGTATTGCATTTCAGCAGACCAAAAGCTTTTAATTTCTGATGAAATTTGATTTATCAATTTTTTTTTTATTGATCCTGCTTTTGGTTTTGTATCTAAGAATTTGTAGCTTAATATAGTGTTACAAATATTTTCTCTTTTGTTTTTTTTCTAAGTGTTTTATAGATTTATGTTTTACATTTAGGTCCATTTTGAGGTAATTTTGTATAAAGCACAAGGTGTGGGTCAAAGTTCTTTGTTTCTGCTTATGGATGTTCATTTTTTCTCCACATAATTTGTTGATAACATCATTTGCTGCTGAATTGCCTTTGCCCCTTTGTTAAAATCATTTGACATTATTTGTATGGGTCTTTTTCTGGACCCTCTTTTTGGTTCCATTGATCTCTGTCTGTCTTTATGCTAATATTATACTGCCTTAATTTCTGTCTCTTTGTAAGCTTTGTAGTAAGCCTTAAGATCAGGTATCATGAGTCTGCTTTGTTCTTTTTTGTTGTTTTGGTTATTCTGGTTTCTTTGAATTTTCATATAAATTTAAAAACCAGCTTTTCTGTATCTGTAAAAAATCTTGCTGGGATTTTGATTGGGATTATGTTTAATTTATAGATCACTTTGTAGAGAAATGGCTTCTTAACAGTATTGAGTATATCTCTCCTTTTTTTTTTCCCTCAGGTCCTTTTTGATTTCTCATGTCAGTGTTTTGCATTCTTTAACATACACATCCTGCACATATTTTGTTAGATTTGTAACTAAGTATTTAGTTGTTGTTTTTTTTGAGTTGATGTAAATAGTACTGTTTTAAGGTTTTGTTTTTGAATTGTTCATGGCTAGTACATAGAAATATACTTGATTTTTGTATATTGATCTTATATTCTGTGACTTTGGTAAACTCATTAATGAATTATAGCCTTTTTTTGTGTGTGGATTTCTTGTGATTTTCTTTGTAGACAATCGTGTTTTGTCCATGAATAGAGACAGTTTTATTTCTTCCTTTCTAGTATTTTCAGCTTTTATTTGTTTTTCTTGCCTATTGCACTGACTAGGACTTCTAATATGATGTTGAATATGAGTGGTATGTTTGAAACACCCTGCCTTGTTCGAATTTTAGAGAGAAAGCATTGTCTATTATCACTAAGTAGGATATTAGCTATAGATTTTTAGAAAATGCCTCTGTTTTCATCTCCCTGCACTTTTTTTTCAGTTTTTATACTGCATTCTAAGAGCTATCAAGTGTCCACATCACTGCTTCATTTTTCATTTCAATTTCTACTCTTTGCTAAATCCTGCACAGATTTTAAGTTTTCCATTTTGTCCCTGAAATTCTTTCTTCTTTCAACCATCTCCATTAAAAAAATTTTCACTTACCTTTTAATATTTGCTTGTTCTCTATTTATAATTTTCTGCTATTTTATGGGGTCCATTGATTTTTTTGCATTTGACAAGTACAGTTAGAAATATTTCTTTTTCTGCTTCGAATAGTAAGTCATTTTCCAGTATCTAGATGCTATATTTCTTAAAGTATTTTTTAAAGTAATATTTATTCACCATATTATATTTACATTAAGTTCTGTTCAAGAAGTAGTTTTTTTGTGTGTGTGTCAGGAATTATAAAGGGTGGTTTACAAAGTTTGTGTGTGTGTGTGTGTGTGTGTGTGTGTGTGTGTGTATGTGTGTGTGTGGTTCATATATTTGAAAAGGAAGAAAATAAAACTTTAGAAAGTGTAACTTTATTATGTTAACCCAAGCAGTCCATGGTAAAGCTGAGATGGGAATCAGATTTACCTCTCTCTTCTTTTTAAAATATATTTTTATTGATTTTTGGTTTTTTTTTTTTTTTAGAGAGAAAGGAAGGGAGAGAGAGAGATAGAAACATCAGTGTGAGAGCTAAACAAAGATCTGTCTGTCTCTTAAGCTTTGTTCCTTTTATATCATGCTACCCCTGGCAGCTACAATGTTATCTTTCCTTTTTACCCTGATAACTGTTTAGGATAAACATGTGTGAAAATAGGTCATGCCATTTAAGTCGTAATAAAATAGATGGCAGTAACTTATTATATAATGAACAAAAGGTATATTTACAATGACTTTTGTTTTAATGGTAATTTAGGTACTCACTCACCTGAACTGTCTTGGTGGTACTTGCAGTGGAACATCTGTGGGTAATAATTCTAAATTCAGAGTCAGATTAAATTAAATAATAAGTTAACAAATCCTCAGGTGCTTATTTTTAATTCAGTTTTTAAGCACTCCTCTTTTCATCTTTTATTTTTTGAAAATTAATTTAATGATAGCTTTTTGCAGAATATGATTGAAGGGATTTAAAATTTTTATCCCAAATACTTACATTTTATTTTTTTCCCCCTTAATTGATTTTAGAGAGAGAGGAAGTTAGAGGGAGAGAGAGATAGAAACATTGATGAGAGAGAACGTTGACTGGCTGCCTCCTAGATCCCCCCCTTCCCCCCCCAGGGCATCGGGCCCACAACCTGGGCATATGACCTGACCGGGAATCAAACCAGCGACCTCTTGATGCATGAGTCAATGCTCAACCACTGGGCCACACCAGCCGTACTCATTCTCTTGTTTTAAAAAATATATTTTATCTTAATCTCTTTGGAGACTTGAGACTGAAATGTCACTACTACTTATAATTTGTTTTCTTCTCGTTTTTATCTGTGTTGACTCTGTCATCAGTGTACTTGTAAAAGGGTTTTCTGCTTGATTTTTGTTATAATGCCTATGTGGTCATGACATTTATTAAATTATGAATCTCCTTTCAAACAGAACTTCAGTACTATGTTTAATTTTGCTCCTGAAATTCTGTTTATAGTTTCTTGACATATATTTCTACTAAACTGAATGTGCAAACTTATATGTTAAATATTGACATATTTTTTTTCTAAGACTTTAAGGAAAATAATTGTATTCTATTTATGTAATATTTTTTTTCTAAAATATTTTTACATTTCTAAGCTGACTTTATTTCTTAGTGCCAGATATGATTATGAGAGATATATGTAAGGCATATTTAAGCACTTGGAATAATCTACTCTTTAAAGACTACATGCACCAATTCCCTTTCTTAAAATGCATTTAAGTGTTTGTTAAAGAGTTTTTATTTTTATTTATTTTTAACTCATCTTTATTGTTGAATGTATTACAGATGTTCTTCTCTTTTTTTTCTCATTGACACCTTCCTCCCCATTCCTGCCCCCCTCCTACTGTTGGTGTCTATTGGTTATGCATATGTGCATAGAAGTTATTTGGTTTATCTCATCCCGCCCTCTCTTGCCACTTCCCTTTGAGATTCATCAGTCTAACAACCAATTTGTACTTTCTAATTCCTTCATCTTTTTCACCAATCCCCCCAACCTTCACCCATCTGGCAAGCAACAAAAAGTTCTCTATCTATGAGTCTGTTTCTGTTCTGTTTGCTCATTTAATTTGTAGATTCAATTGTTGATAGATATGCATTAACTGCCATTTTATTGTTCATATTTTTGTTGTTCTTCTCCTTCAGGAAGACCCTTCAATATTTCATATAATACTGGTTTGGTGGTGGTGAACTCCTTTAGCTTTTTCTTGTCTGGGAAACTCTTGGTATGTTCCTCGATTCTAAATGATAGCTTTGTAGGATAGAGTAATCTTAGTTGTAGGTTGTTGCTTTTCATCATCTCTTGCCACTCCTTTCTGGCCCGCAAAGTTTCTTTCAAGAAATCAGCTCACAGTCTTATGGGAGCTCTCTTGTAGGTAACGGACTGCTTTTCTCTTGCTGCTTTTAAGATTTTCTCTTTGTATTTAACATTTGGCATTTTGATGATGATGTGTTTTGGTATGGACCTCTTTGGGTTCAACTTGTTTGGGACTCTCTGTGTTTCCTGGACTTGTATGTCTGTTTCCTTCACCAAGTTAGGAAAGTTTTCTGTCATTTTTTCAAATAGGTTTTCAATTTCTTGCTGTCTCTCTTCTTCTGGCAC